GAAAATAGCTCTCCCTCCGAATCATCCCGACTTGGCTGCTTCCTACAACAACATTGGTTCTTTGTATGATAACATGGGCGAGTACTCAAAAGCACTTTCATCGTATGAACGATCACTTGAAATCAAGAAAATAGCACTCCCTCCGAATCATCCCAACTTGGCTTACACTTACAACGGTATTGGGTTGGTGTACGATAAAATGCGAGACTATTCGAAAGCACTATCATACTTTGAGAAAGCACGTGGTATTTGGGAAAAGGCTCTCCCTTCAAATCATTCCTATATTTCACATGTAAAAGGAAACATTGAAAATGTAAAAAAGAAAATGTAATTCTTTTTCGTTTGATTATAAAGAGAAAATAAATTCGCCATCTTGAAATCTAAGCTCGCCGAAGCAAACAGCTGCAAAATTTCGCGCACGCGCGACCAGAGATACCCTCCGTATTCTGCTCGCTCGTACAGTGGACAAAGCCGGCAATGGTTAGGCAAACATACATCGATGTACGTATGAATAGTACAACCATGATCATCATCTTCGAAAAGACGATGCCGAAATGGACGCTTCTATTCATACATACATTGATGTATGTTGTGAAGGCCTACCATCTGCACGCCTGCACGGATCACCAACAGAACGTCGGATATCCCTGAGAAGGTTGATTTGTTTTAGAGCCACCCTCAAAAGCTCCATTGGTTAGAAAATTATTTTTGTTCTTCTGTTAGGAAGAACGAGAAGAAGTAGAAACGGAAAGACGCGATAAAAGACGACGTCACGGAATGATAATACGCAGCGCATGATAACAACCGGTGTTTGTCAAGCAATGGAATATTGAGTGCACGATATCTTTGTCATCTTTAAACATTTCATGTTCAATTCGTCTGAGTTTTCATCTCGAATGTGTAAGAATAACTTGAATGTCGTGCACTCACCATTGTAGCAAACGAACGATGATTGTATGAAACGGTGAATAAAAACAATACATTCGCCGTCAATTTGAGTAATAACTCATGCACTGCATATCCTGAAATAGAGATAAAGAATAGAAAAAGGGAAAATTTTA